GCGCCATGGCTGGCAGCTTACATTCTCGCTTTTCACTCCTTGGCTGTTCCCATGTGCTCTTTTGTTCGTGCCCGTCCACAGTTATGCCCGAACTCATTTTCATGGATTACCTCGCGTCTGACTGTGACACGCCGCCCATCCGCAGATATGGAGAGGAGCACGCAAAGGAGGCGGCCATGCACGTGCTCTGGTCAGGCGCCCACTGTGAGTCTGCTTGGCGTGGGGAAGTAGGAGGAAGGGGCCATCACCCAATGTGCCAGCCCAGACTTGCGCGAGCAGGCATGGTGCGCCCAGCTGCGCGCCCCCACCTGCCCCCAGAGGGCCGCAGCGTGTCGTCGCCCGTTGCGACGTTTCATGATCCAGACTCGCCCCCCGCTGCCTCCCTGCCTTTCAACTCACAGATGATTTGTTGATACCGGCTGGCACCCCCAGGAGCAAGCTCTGACACTGACCATGAACCTTGATTGGCATTCAAACCCCTTGATTGGCCGCCATTGTTATCGTGGGTCGATGGCCTTCCAGTCCCGCTGATTGAGAAAGCACAGCGGTCTGGTTTGGACGTGTCAGTAGCGCAAAGGTTGCACAGGGTTTATGCGCAAAATCCAGCCTGCGATGGGTCAAACTTTGAACTTTGAAAAGTCAACCGCTTGATTCCCGCCAATTGCTTGGTGGGGCGGTGCCGCCGAAGGCGCAGGCGCTCATGCGCGCCCGAGCACCGGTCGCGCCGCGCCGCGCCCATGCGACAGCACGCACGCGCCGGGCACAGGCTGCTGCAGAAGCTCCTGCTTTCATGCATAGGTTAACTTGGAGCCGCAGCACACTGCGAGTTCATCTCATAATCGGCCAAAACAAACAAGGGTTTTGGGCCAGAAGGGTCCTGCTTTCGGCAGAGCATCCAGGTTGGCGGATGGGAAGCGGCATATGGCTTATGACGCACACACAAAAGGATCTGAGCCGGCCTGCGAGCCGCCTGGGCTGCGCGGCCGGGGGGCCGTGCATGCACGCAATCTTGACCATGCATGGGGGGATGCGTGGCGCGGCCAGCAGGAATGTGGGGGTCCGCGATCACTTGCATGAGCTGGTAGGCCCACCCTCACCTTGCTCTCGTGCCCGAGGGGCGCAGCTTGCTCTGACGGCACGTGTGCTGCGACACGCATGCGACGCAAGTCTTCCCGAGTGCGAGAGTGTGTGTGCGCGTGTGTGTGTCTGTGAGTGTAATTGAGCAGGGCAACACTTGGGGGGCAGAGGCCCGGGAAACAACAGTAAACAGCACACGGGGGCGCTGCAAAAAAAAGTCTCATGAAACCATTGGCACCAGCAGGCAATGGTGCTGCATGTACACCGCATGAAATGGCAGCCGGCCCCCGCCCTCAGCTCGCGCCATCAGGAGGCGAGGCGTGTGGCGGCCGCATGTGGGGGCCGATCGCAACAACAAGCAAAACCCTGGCGGGACGTCGCATGCGTCGCCGCCGCCGCTTGTCAGGGATCAGACAACCTCCTGCGCGTGCGCCCTGCCCCAGCACAGGGCGGGGATACAGGGCGTCTTGCGGCGTACGCGACGGCGCTCAGAGGAAGCAGGGCAGAGCGACCCCGAAAAGGGGCCGCCCCGCAGGGACACGCCCCTCACTACAACAGCAGCAGCTGCCCCGCCACAACCGCCGCCGCCGCCGCCGCGACGGGCAGCAGCGAGCCCGCGCCCCGCCCCGCGGCCGCGTTGAAGCCGCCGGCGGCGGGCACGCGGTTGACGCCGTTCTTCACGAGCCAGTCGTAGTAATACGACGCGATGGTGCCAGATGGCGGGTCGAAGAACTTGTTCTCCATCTCCTCCTCGATCCTGGGGGGATGGTTTGAAGTGACGTCGACGAGCGAGGGTGGGTCCGGGGATCGTGCACGTTGGGTTGGCAGTTGGATTGACAAATATCAGTCGCAAGAGGCAATTGTGTTCATAGTGGTGGGGGGCGGGTGTGGAGGGAATTTGCTATGCAAAAAGCAGGGGAACAGCGACGCGTGCCCGCAGCCCTGAGGGTCGCCGGCTCGGCTCCGTCGCTGCGGCACAAGCCCTCTGCTCACGCATGTCACGCGGCGCCTGACCGTCCAGCGGGTCAGGCTGCAACGCAGCAGAGGTGCCGCACACGCGCGCGCTCTCCCTCGTGTCTTCCGGCCCCACCTGGCGTAGTCGCCGACGAGCTTCGAAAAGTCGCAGGGGATGGGGACCGCGTTGACGATCAGGACGCGCACGCCCTCGCACGTCTCAAAGCTGTCCACCACGCCGGACGACTTGTTGGGGTCGGCGTCCAGCAGGGCGCGCCCGCGGCCGGAAGGCGCGGGGGCGGCCGCCCGCTGTGCGCGCTGCAGGCGCCGCCTGTGGCTGGGGCCGTCAGCCGCGGGCGCGGCTGCGGGCGCGGGCTTGGCGGCGGGCGCCGGGGCCGCGGGGGTGGCGTCCGCCGGCACGGCGGCGGGGGCGGCGGGCTTCGGCGCGGCCGTGGCG